CGCAGCCAGGATCCCATCTTTCACACCTCACCGCACATGCCCAGCATATAAAGCCACACTCAAGTTAGAGTCAAGCAGTCTCCTGACGACGGACAGAGTACACTGTTCCGAAACGTTGAGTAAACCGGTTCTTCTCAGAACCACACATACTCATAAAAGAGAATATTGTACATGGTGTAACCGCAAAAAAATCCTTAACTAAGAGCCTTGTTACATTATACTTTGTTAGAAGTGGCCGTTTGTATCCTTGAGTTAGAGGAGTACGGCCACATCATTATATGCATGGGAAATAAGGTAATTCTGCATCACTGCACAAAATAGAAAAATCTGCAGGTACATGTAAGGTGCGACCGAAGACGGAAGTCGCTCAGTGATTTAAGAATCCAGAAGTATTATAATATTCCCAATTATTTGCTAGCACAAAGAGCATGAGCAGATAAAATGGTGATGTTGAGAAAACCTTGCAGATTATTCCACTTCGTTTTGATTCTGCGGGGTGCAGTCGAAAAGACAACCATGGCAAGCAAATAAAAACAAGAGAGCCCTGACAGTAGCCACACTTTTGCCAGACCTGGTAACATTCACAGTATATACACTCTGGACACGTCCACTACAAAGGAACTCATGTCCGGACAGTATGTGGGGCGTGGCCAGGCCGAACAGAAGAAAACATGGAGATCCCAGAATTATTAGATGAAAGGAGCGTGTGGAATTTGCAACAATGTGAAGTTTGGTGAACTCGGACACCTGAGGCGTAGACACTGAATTGAATGGCGTGATCACCAGTCAGAGATAGAGGAGAGCCTGTCCGGAGATCGTGGTTGATTGTTACTGCACTTGAGAGCCTCGATGACGAAGTTTCAGACATCGGAGGGCTCGATGGGACATTGGGTTTGCAGGTAGGGCATTGAAATCTACTGCAGTCATAAATGACCCAAAAACGGTGGGGAGAAAAAAAACACACAAATGGTTGGCTGATTGTATCGCATTTTATTCACCGGGATAACTCCAGAGAGTGGTAGAGAGATGCCTAAATAGCAGATTTCTCTGATCCCTGCCTAGCTGCCCCCCCTCCCCGCACGGGAGTCTCAGGTGCGAGCCGTTGGTCTGATGTGTAGTGTAGTGGGAGGCCTATAAGCAATTGTCCGAGTCGCAGTCTGGGTTCAACATGCATTACCCAGACTTGTATTCACAAGTATATAGGTACGAGCAAATAATGTAAGATAGCCCAGGAGAGTATACATATACATGTACCTCCTACATGCCTGGATGCCCCTAAAAGTGGACAGATCAAGACATAGGCATAGGCCTGGATAAGAAATGTCACCGCACTGTAAAGAAAAGAATTGGTCAAACAGTGTTGGGCATTCATTATTTGCCCAACCTTGGTTAAAGTTGCCACATCATTGGTTGATTTCCATCACTGTTGGTCAAACATTGACCAACGATTGGAAAAATTTGCACAAGGTTGGGAAGTTGATATTTACACCAACATTGGGTAAAATATCAACCAAAAAAGACCAACCTTTTCACAATGCAGTTGTACCTGGATAAGTTGAAGAATTATTATTGAATGAATTTATTAAGCGCAAATTCAATTAAAAAAAAAATGCATGGGCGTTCATGTATTGGATGGAATGACGGAGCCGGATGTGAAGCCGGCAATGAAGCTGGAAGTCGGAAGCGGAACCGGTTACAAATCCAAGTGAGGATCCGGATGGGGATCCTCACGCAGGGGATTTGGGTCAGGAGCAGTCGCCGGGGAGTGGAGGTTGACTTGAAGCAGCTGACTAAAAGTGGTCAGTGTCTCTGAGGGAGCGAACCACCGTCATAAAATTAGATGAAAAAATACATGTATCTTGCTTAGGTGTAGAGCAAGATTTTGAATTTGAAACCCCGCAGAAGACGATTGCTGTGCACGCTTCTTATGTGCAGGTGATCCGGCCGTAGAACCTGAAAGAAAAACCTGTGGTGTCAGCAGAATGTCCAGCATGCTGGTCGTGATCGGCTGAAGTGGACTGAAATGCCAGGGAGCTGTGGTGGAAGCATCCTGGCCGAATAGCCCTCGCCGGCAGCCAGTGAAAGACAAGATCACTCATCATTTCCACGCAAGAGCGATCCAGCCGATATGAGGCATGAAGGGTGGTGCTTGAATAAAGTGTGTCCTTGCCCCGCAGGCGTAGGGTGTGATGACAGGAGTCCGAGAACATGGATTATGTCATGATCAAGAAGGCGGAGGCGGCCCCTCAGGTTGGGTCAGGCCAGCAATAGAGTCAATGTCGTCACCCACTGGGCCATCGGTCGGTAGAGTTGCCCGGGGATGCGGTAAGTAGCAACGCCCGGTACCCACAGCATAGAGAAAGGAACCGCTCATCATTCTCTGGTCACCGTGATCAAGGGTAGTGTTGCGGCATAGCATGCTCAACCCGATCTGAAGAAATGTGGAGTGGGTGTTGATGACCAAGGGTAGTTTTGTGGCCCAGTACGCTCAGCCCGGTCGGTAGGTGTTCGGAGCAGTCATCAGTGATCAAAGGCAGTGTTGTGGCATAGCACGCTCTGCCAGATCAATTCCGGTGGTGGTCATCAGTGATTGATGGTATTGGTGCGGCATAGCACGCTCAACCCGATCATGTAGATAAAGGTCCGGGGTAGTGTTGCAGCATAGCACGCTCAACCCCAGTCTATTTACTCCACTGGGTCTCTCCCCGTCAAGGCTGTTAATCAGATAAAGCAAACTGCACCACAAAGGAGTGGGGCAGCCCGCCAAGCCCCGCTCCACGGCCAGATCTATACAGTGTTGGGCCGTTATTATTCGAACACACGCACCACATTGAGAACAAAGGGCTGCCCAGCCCTGTTCAACAGCCATACACAACACACTAGGACGGTAGGTTACACCCAAACCTGTCAATAATGCACAGAAAAAAGAGGCAGAAAAGAACAACAGAAATACGAGATTCAAAATACGAAAATAAGCACTCTTACCAATAGATAAGAAATCACTTTTTATTCATACACAGAAATCAAGTCAATTCACAAACACGAAAGGTACAGAACTGGAAACTCTGAAAATGCCATCAAGACACGTCCATAAATGATAAGCACTGAGAAAAGGACGAACATGGATGCATTGTGGAGGGTCAAGGGGCAGTATGCATGATCAAGTCTTTTCAGCGAACTGTAATAGGCACATGGGAAATTTCCATATATAGGCTGGGAAGGGGTATGTGAACGCAAGAGACTTTACATTTTGGAAATAGTTTTGTAGTACATGTATCTCCTGCTCATAGCACACTGACCATTTCACTGGAATTTGAGGTCTATTTGAGCTGAAGGCAGACTGAATAATTTTCAGATCTGGATGTAGGAAAATGACTGTACTCAGGCCTTGAAATTCAATCTGAACTTTTGATCTGCTTAAATTTCAAAGATGCAGACACTTTTCTGGGTTCCCTCATGTTCTCCCTTACTTGTAACTTGGGACTCACTTCCACAGGACTCACTCTGTGGCCGAAATTGACAATGGACATCAGCGAGCTTTGTGTGAGAGAGGAATTTCCCTATTCATGCTGCTTGTTAACATAACAATATTGAACACACAATAGGGATATTGTGCTGCGTGTAGCGGGTGGACAGGTAACTTGGAAAAATGTGCCGTGGGGCACCGTGGCGTGCCGATTAAAATCTTTTTGACATTTGCCTAACTTAATTACTTACCAAAGCCCATCATAGCTGCTGGACACAATGAGAGACCCATCACGATTGAAATCAACCTGTCATGGACGAGGAGAAAATATATGGTAAAATATAATGTATACATTGCCACTGTACTTCTAGGAGAGTCAATTAAACCAGAGGAGCTCAAAAGTGGAGTCAAATGGCTTCCCAAGTGCCTTATGTGACCCGTATCACCACAAAACACTTCACATATATTTCGATCAGGAAGATTACGAGCACTATCCACTCTTACGAACCGGTTCAGATTTTCTTTTTTACCCAGTGCTATTCTCCTTTGTAATTCAAATTTTAGCGGATAATTATTGTATGCATCCAATGCTTTTTCAATCAGATTAGACTTTTTAAAATAAATTATCTGGCATATCAGTATTCAGATCTGCTTCATTTATCATTATGGGTTTTTATTGTTTTTTTTTCTTAGGTTTGGCCTTTTTCAACTAAGGTTTTATGTTGGTGGTTAATATATATTTCTTTTTTACCTTCTTTGTTGTCTTAAGCAAACGTATATGTTTTAAATTTTTGTATCTTGTTTTTATGTGCACATTGGGAAGAATTTCACTTTTAAAGTTTTTTTAATTGTGATGAAATAAAATATTGAATTAATTTCATACAATAACCTTGGTACATGTATATACGGAGTAAAACTATCAGTAGAACAATACAAACAGATAAAATGAGTTTTGCTCTTTCCTGATATAATACCCTTTACATTGAATGCTGTCAAATGTTGCTGTCAAAACAAAATTGCCCAGGTGGGACTCTAACCAATGACCACTGGTATAAACGTGTAGACAATGAGATGAGGGTAGTTATTAAAGTGGTCAGCAGGGTGGTTCAGATTCAACACAGCAAGGGGTACCACCATCATTGAGTGTTAATGAAATACTGTTAGCAGTAGGGAAGAGAACAATTTCAACATTGGGTTTTCCCAAAACCGATGAGATGCAATTAACACTGCTACTCCATACTTTACTGTGAATCCTTCTAGTCTATTCCTTTCATTTTATTCATACCAGAACTCTCTGCGACTTTTCTTCAGAACGGTCTTCATGATTTTTCTTTTAAACTTTGCAAGATCATAAATTCTGATCCCAAGATATGCATACAACCTAAAAGTGTGATGTCTTGGTGAAGTTATCAAATACATGTATTTAATCACAAATTTATGAAAATTGTTAGGTTTTAGATATAATTCCTACTGAATACCAAAGAAGTGGAAACAATGTCATCACACAATTTATTATAAATTTTTCAAATATTTGTGAGTTTCTCCTTGATATTATCTCTCTGATCTACATGTCCTGTTAAGGTCAAAGAGCACATACTTTATAGAGAGATATGTTTTACATAGTACCGTAATTTTAACCACTTCCTGCCGGGGCAGTTATCAATGTCGATGATGCTGGGCTGGGATATTTATAATTTTTTTTTCTGTTTTCAAAATTCTTAAAAATTTCTATCTTCATTTACTGGACATTTACAAACACGTGAAGGATTGTCTGGTGGCCCCTCTAGTCTGACAGACAAAATCTATTGACGCCTGAGCCATTTCAGCCAGGCCTGCAGCCTTGTAAAAAGAGCCTAGATTGTGCGGTGATATATAACTTTCTTTTGTTCATGAACCTGGCTCAGTGCGCTGCTGACCTCTTTTCAATAGGGGCCAGATTAGCATGCAGCGGTGCTGTGTGGCTCATCACTGCGGTGGTGGAGCGCTTTTGTCCCTGGTGGTGGAGCGCTTTTGTCCCTGGTGGTAATCCGCTCGCTCTCAATGCCCCAAAGTGTGGTATACTGTTTCAAAACAAGGCTGGATTATCTCCACTTTTGAGAGTGAAAAAATGTTGGTAATGCCCAGCAGCCTGGTCTTTTGTTCCGAGTACGGTCTTTTGTGACAAGGCCCTGTTCCCTTTGTCCAAGTTTGGAGACCTTGTTCACACATATATAGCATACGTGTCCAGATCCCCGGCAGGAAGTGGGTAAGAATATAAGCTGTGGCTTAATTGTTGATTCGCACGCTGAAAAATGTCTCTGTGGCTTATATGCTGGGCAGACTAAATGGAAAACTCAGAGGGATAAAAACCAGTTGCAAAAGCCACGCACGGGCCACACATACCACATGCTGGTGGTGCAGTCACGTTTTCATTGGTTGCTGTTTACATAACTTGAACCTCAGAGAATAAATAAAAAATTGAGTTTTTGGATTTTGAATTATTAAATGGAATTCCCCAAGTCATGGTGTCACTGAACACATACATGAACTGTGTACGTTATCAAAACAAACTTTACTTGCTCTGTTGTGTAGCTTTTAGTGATTTTCCCGCTTTTTATTCATTCTTATGGTATATTTTTTGCACCCAAATATTCATTTTACTGACACTTTTTTTGCAACCTAAAGGTTTCTTTCCACCGCCAAATGAAAATCAAACGCTTATATAATACGTGTACCTTATCACTGCATGTACCAAATCTTGTCTTTTCACTGATAGTATTTGGTGTGACATGTCACAGAATTTCGGGTTTGTTTTCAGTTGGGTTTTCTGATGACATCACTTTCTGTGGTCACGTGGTTATCAGGATGAATCAGCGATTGGGTCTGCTGTAGCAGTCAGGATAGCCTGAAAGCAGGATTTTTCGCGGTCAGTACAGGGTGTGGTGTACGCAGTGAGTTCCGTGCTGTGCAGTATGCAACACAGGCAGTTGTGCTTGGCAGTGATGACTTGAACCAAGGTCTCGCAGCGGTCCTTTACCTGCTATTCTGGCAATGTTTTTTTAACATCACAAAAACTTTGAGATAGCCAGATGTATTACGGAGGTATTTTTGTACATATATCATCTGCTTTTAGCGAAAAAAAGTTGGCCTACGAGATAAAACGGTCTTTCAACTTAACCCCTTCACACCAGGAGACAGCTATAGCCGTGCCTAGAGAAAAGTCTAATTGCCGGGAGACGGCTATAGCCACATACCACACATGCAACTGTTGTTCAGTGTACATCTGTAATTTACTGGCAGCTTTGCATTGAATGGAAATCTGGGGCGACTTGGAGAGTTGGTTGATCCCAATACTCAGTAAAAAGGAATTTTTCCTCAGAATACCCCATTGTCTTTGATTGAATATCCTGGGTAATTTTCGGGGAGCGTTGCTCGATGCCGCGGTCAGGGCTTATGCAACGTGCTTTGTGTGGGCTCAGAGTGCTTTGAATACATGCCATTGACATGGTGTGCGTGTGCAATTGTTTACGGTCCTGCTGGGCTGTGAACACGTGGACAGCACCCTAGCACTAGAACTAAATCATACAGATGGTGTGATGTTTGTTCTAGAAATGTTAAAAGAAAAGAGACAAAATTCATGTGTGAAATTTGTGAAGTTCCACTTTGCGCTGTTCCTTGTTTCAAGGTTTATCACACTTGAATCAATTGCTTAGTTATGCAAAGTTTCCTTTATTCCAAGACATCGTGTAATGAAACAGTGCATGCAATTTTAGGGCAACTCCTTCAAGGTTTATTAACTTGAATCAATTACTTATTAATGTACAATAACTTCTATTCCAAGATATCGTGTAATGCACAACCACCCGTTAAGGGGTTAACTTACTTTGAGTTATCAACATTTTATTGTACATCCCCGTCCACATAATTTGGCTGTCTGCTTGGAAAAAAGGACAAGAGCTGCTGCATGGCCCACGCAGGACAATCATCCAGCCCGCAAAATTATTAACTTTTGAGGACTTAACACCTGTTTTTAACGGTGGCACCCATTTGTACTCTGCTAGAATTTACTGGGATTGCATATGTGTAGTGGTACCATTGCCAGACATGTAGTGGAACCATTGACGTACTGTGTCAATGGTTCCACAACACATGCAATCCTAATGAATTCTAGCAAACATCTAACCTTGCGATACGGATAATGAGAATAAGTTTGGAATGATGGTTATTTACATTTTTGTTGACAAAAGTTTTAGAACCCAGCAAGAAAGTACAAATGATGGTGGGGGCTTAGATGAATTAAATAAAATTTTAAGTAGGCATACCTGTTTTTTATAGGTAGGATAATCACACATGTTGAGTTAAAACCCTGAGAAACTATTCAGATTGAAGTTTTTCAAAATGAAATAAAAACTGAGGTGTACGGTATTGACCTGTTAAGCTAGTTTGTAGTTGTTTTTCATTGATGCGCATCAAAATAATTTTGTACCATAACAATTGTGCAGTAACGAAACATGTATCAGATATCCCATAGTTTATTAGACATTTTCCCCTTTCCTCAGCAAAAGTACGAAAAAAACACAAAGCGAAGCCCCATCCCTCCAAAGAGCAGAAAAAAGGGTAGAAGTCAGTCTCAAACTGATAATTTTGCTGTTTACAAGGACCAAATGGGAGAAATGGGAATCTGAAACAAAGCTAATACATTTAATGTAATAAATGTTAAACAGAGCCCTCAGGTGTCAAATAATATCCAATCACCACTCCCCCACCCCGTATCCGGCAAGTCAGGCAGATGCCTCTATCCTTTAATTTCATCCTGGCTAGAATGTTGCCTGTGGTCTGGCAATATTATTCTGATGTGTAACATGACATGACCTCAAAGGTTCACTCTTTGCAGGACAATATCTAGAGAAAAACAAATCTAATTTGCGTTAAAGAAAGTATGTTTTCATGTGCAGGCAGGGATGTGTTACATGTGTAGTAAAAAACTGATACCATCATTAGGATTATGTGGTTGTGTGTCACGTGACTCATTGTTATAGGCAACTCTTTACAAGCCAATATTTGCAGAACTGCAAATCCCATCTGATTAAAAGCTACAGGTAGTACATTTACAGCCAACAACGTTTTACGAGTAAAAGGTATTTTGATATGTTTAAAAGTATTACTTACATGTATAAGCTTGTTAAAATACATGTACTTTTAAACATGACAATGTTTTCAAGGGACACTCTTCACAGAACAATATCTGATGAATTACACGTATATCCAACTGATAAGATAAAATTCTTGTAACAGACATTATTCAAAACAAATACTGGTAGCCACTGA